AATTCATCAGAGACAAAGGCAAGGTATTTACAGACATTGTCTTTAAAGTGTAAAAATCTGATTTGTTTTCTGGGCTGTAAAACCTGCAGCTTCTCACTACTCCCCATGAGTCACACCTTATGAGAATTTTAAGCTTTTTCCTTTTTAATGATTTACTTGTCAATATTTGTGAGATACAGTTGAAATTCATGACATTTTTTACCTTTCTCAGGTTTTTCCCCCTCTCTTTTTAAGGTGTCTGGTCTTACCAAGTTTTTGAGAGTCCAAAAGTGCACAATTTCTGTAAATTCTTCAGCACTACTTTGTTTGAAGTAATTATTATTATTTTACAGTGGTCAGGTAATCAATCCCTGCCTTTGCATGCCCTAAACAGTGAGAGGTGCTACAGTCACATGGATCTCACTCAACAGCAAATTCAAAATAAACTCTGGTGTTTGCAGCCTTTTAACTTTCCACACTCAACTTTTATCCATTGCCAGTTACCAGTTTGTCTGCAATAATAATCCCTGAGGTATTCCCTCTCCTTTCCCTGCACATCAAGACATCAAATACCTCCAAAATAAATTATTTCCAATGCCAGGCTCATGTTAGTTTGGAGTTAGGACTATTAGGGCCAAACCATTTCAGCCCCCAAGGATGGCAAAGTGCAAAGTCAGAGGAGGATTTGTTTTCCCTCAGGGCTGTTCAGCAGCACTGTTACAAAACCAGGTACAGCACCAGCTCAATCCTTGGCTGAAACAGTTTAAAGTAACCAAAATCATGAACAAAAGTGAGGAAAATTGAATTGCAGAAACAAATATTAAAACCAAACAATAAAGCAGGCTACCAACAGCTAAAGGCAGCAGATGCCAGGGCATTTCTTAAGTGCAATTTCTTATTTTCTCTATTTCAATTCTATCTATTTTAATTTCTATTTTAATTCTATTCTGTTCTTCCCATTTTATATTTTAATTCTATCGCTAATTTGATAAAGTGGCTTTTATGAAATTACAGGATTCTTTCAGGTGTTTGAGTTCTGGTGGACTGGAGCTGTGCCAGAGCCACCTCCTGAAACTCTGGCACTTCACACAGCAGGACTGGGAAGAGGCTTGGATTGGGATTAAATTAAATATGGCTTTTGCATCCAGAAGGTAAGAAACAACCCGCTCATCCCACTCTGGAGTATTTTTAAATGCGCAAGGTATAAAATAAACAAAGCTGCAGAAAATGTGAGCTGTCTCAGGGGCTGCTGAAGGCCTGGTCTGTGCCTTTCATGTGTAACACAGGCAGGGAGCTTTGCTGACTCCCCAAAGCCAGAGCCATGAGCCAAGGCAGCAAGGCAGGGATTCCTTTCAATCAATTCCAGAGCATTAAAGCACAATTTCTACAGAAACCCCTGAAACCTCATCAGTCCTCTGTGGTTCCTGAGCTGGCATCCTCAGTATCCTCCTCAAAGCAAACATAGGCTGCTCCTTTGGAGATGTATTTGATTTTTTCTATCTCTCCCCCACCATTGCTTGGCTTTTGGAAGTGGATTTCAATCATGTCCTGCACACTTTCTTCATCCTCTTCCACCTCTGGGACTCCTTTCAGCAGAATGGTTTTCTTGGAAACCCTGCAGTGTGGCTGGGGAGGAAAAACAAAAATGGGTTACAGAGCAGCTGGGCACTCAAGGGAACTGGGAGAGATGGGAAATGAATTCTTCTCTCAGG